CCCCCCCCCCCCCCCCCCCCCCCACCCGGGGGATGTAGATGAAGTGTCTCTTAGAAGCCAAAATAAGCTTTAAACCGGGACTCCTTTTTTTTTGACCTTTTTGGGTAATATTTTAGTAGTTACTTTTTGGTGGGTAAAAATACTGGATAATTTACATTATAATTGCTAAATTATCTTTGTGTCATACAATTGGATTTGTTTTCATTTTTTAATTTAATCTAAAATTAACCATTGAATTACATTAGATTTGGATGTAGATTTATAATTTATGTAGCTATTTATAATTTATGGGTACATCTTTACATGTTTAGTATTTTTAAATATCACAAAAAAAGTAAATACTAAATACTTGACGGTAAATATTTGCATTTTTTGTATTTTTAAATAGCAAAAAATTTGAAAACTAAATGCTAATGATGTTAAATATTTTCGATAACGTTCTTATATTTCAATTTCACCAAATTTAATGTATTAGATGATAAATTTAGGACATATAATGTTTAAATGTTGTTGTTTATATTTTTATAAAAATTTCATAATTTTTTTAGAATTTTTTGAATCCTCTACCTAGCATTTTTTTCGTATCAATCAATACCGTACAGCGATACTGCAATCGATGTGTATCAGTGCCCTCTGAGTCAACTGACGATACCATAACTTTGAACCATGATGACAGCACCTCCAACAAGTTGTGAGAACATTTTCATTGGACGAGCCGGACGGTGGGAACTTCTTCGGACGAGCATCCACCATCCATGCTACTTTGGCTAATGAGAAGGAAGATGATATGGGTTATATATATGTGTCTCTATGAAGAAAAGAGTATTTTGCTTAGTTTAGAACTCTAGTTTTTGTCTCTGCTACCAAAGAGAGTCAAGAATACCCTCCTTACTGGAGGCAGATAAAGAGTGAATAGAAGTGTGAAAAGAGCAAAAGTCAGAAGAATAACAAGAGTTGAAAAAACCAAACCTATCTGGACCCTTTCGAGAACGTTGAGGATAGTGACGTGCCTGATCCATAGCATCAAAATTTGATGAAGGGACCAGAGAAGAAGGGGAAGGCACTGCATTCGCAGAAGAGATAGCTAGAGTCTTGCAAACATAAATATGTACAATAGGGGGACGGGTAATAGATAAATTAGAGGAAGGAGAAGAAGAGGAGGGCACACCTGACACAGATATGTCACTAACATATGTATCATAAGAAACATCAACTAGAAAGGAATCAATGTAAATGAGATCAGATTAACGCATAGATTAAGGGCTGGATGGAATCGAGAAGAAATGGATACGCTCCATAAAGACAACATGACGAGAGACAAAATTTGTGAGTAATAGAATCATAATAGCAATAAAATTTTTGACCTTCACCACAAACAAAGAAATGCATAAAGTCGATCGAGCAAAAAGTTTGGTACGAATGACACTAAGGAGCAAGGCAAAGCAAGTACAACCAGTTAAATTTACAAATTTAACATAATATGAGAGAGACGGAGAGTGGTAAAACTTGACCTAACTCTCACTAACAACTTGTACATATAGTTATCTAGTAAACATATAAAGGACGAGTATACCCTTAAGAGGTAATTACATAATAATACTCTCAACACTATCCTCAAGCAAGACTATACATATAATATAATACAAGCTTGGAATAGATGGCCATAAGATGAGTACGGCTCAATACTTTGGTAAACATGTCTATAAGTTGATCCTTAAATCTCACAAATGGAGTTTGTAATATCTCTAGCTATTATCTTGTCTCGAATAAAGTGACAATCAACTTCAATATGTTTGGTCCCCTCGTGAAATACTGAATTGGCAGCAATACGAATAACTGTCTGATTATTATAGAACAATTGTAAAGGAGACTGCACTGAAAAGCCAATTTCTCGAAGAAATGTAATAACCATGTCAACTCACAAGTTGTATGTGTCATTGTTCTACACTTAGTCTAAGCACTAGATCTTACTACCACTGTTTGTTTCTTACTTTTTTTATGTGACAATATTAGCTTCCAAGAAAGTATAATAACCAGTGGTTGACCTCTGATCTACAGAAAAACCAACCCAATCAACATCTAAAAAACTTCACACTGTAAGATGTCCATTAGCTCGATACAGCAACTCAAGACCTGGTGCACGTTTGAAGCATCGAAGAATGCGAGTGACTGCCTCCCAATGTAGGACTCTGGGGCATCTCATAAACTGACTTACCACACTGACTACATAGGCAATATTCGGTCGGATAGTAGTGAGCTAATTGAGCTTCCTAATCAACCTGTGGTACCAACCTAAATTCTCAAACAGTACAACATCATCATCCATCAAAAACTTCTGGTTCGGATCCATAGGAACATCAATTGGTCTGTCACCGAGCAAAATTGTTTCTTCTAACATGTCAAATACATATTTTCTCTAAGGTAAATAAATATCCCGCTTAGATCTGGAAACTTCAATACCCACAAAGTACCTAAGTTTTCCTACTTCTTTAGTGTGAAATTGATCTTGTAAGAAAGTTTTTAACTTGGCAATATCCTCGGAATCATTACCAGTAATGACAATATCATCCACATAAACAACCAATAGAATATCCCCTGCATCAGTCTATCTATTAAAGATAGAGCAGTCGATTTGACATCGAAAAAAATCAAATTTTAAAACTGCATCTAAAACTTACTAAACCATGCTCTTGGTAACTGTTTCAAACCATACAAAAATTTCTTTAACCGACACTATTACGATACTCCCCCTGAGCAATAAACTTAGGTAGGTACTCCATGTAAACTTCCTCATTCAAGTCACAGGCATTCTTGATATCTAACTGAAATAAGGGTCAATCAAGATTAGTCGCCAAAGAAATCAATTCAAGAACAAAGAAAATCATATATTTGAGTAAAGCCCTTAACAACAAAATGGGTTTTGAGGCGCTCAACAGAACCATCCAGATTAAATTTAATGTATACACCCATCAACAACCAACAATCCATTTAAGGGAACAAGATTACAAATCTCATTATGATGTAAAGCATTCACCTCCACTTCCATAGCTTTCCTCTAACCCGGATCACACAACGCACCCAATAAGTTTTTCAGAATAGAGACAGTAAGATACATAGTAGATACATAGCAGAGGCCCTTATAGGACAACATAAAACAAGATAAATAACTACACAATCCTTAATACTAAGATGATAAAATACTCTAACAGTACTCAAGTGTTGTGATCAGATTATAATTTGGTTTGTTCTTTGTCGTTTTCGAATTGTAATCTTTGTATTTCTTACTCTTGCATTTTGTCACGAAATTGCAAAATATAGAGATTGTTGGGAAATTGCTCATTTATAATTGGCTAAATCTGTGAAATCACATTGTAAATATCAATCTAAGTCTATGGTCATGATGCTTCAAGTTCAAGATCTGAAAGCAACATGAAGAAGGAAATTTAAGCTTCAAGCTACATCATGAAGATCTCCCTTAATTCTTCAAAACTACGAAAATGTAACCTTAGAACCTTGGTATTTTTACTTTTTCTTATTGAGTTTTATTTGAAATGAATTTAGGATAGTCCATGAATGACTCATAAGTTTTTTCATGAAAATACTTTTGAAACATCAAATTTTGTTTTGAAGACATTTATTGAGTCATGTATCGGATCCCTATTGATCAATTGAGCAACACTCCTTAGTGCTCAATGAGACAAATTTTGGCTTGTTTTTCGACTTAAAAACCAATAAGGACTGCCCTCTACTCACTCGTCTTGACTAGAACGGTCTCTAAAAACATGGGGAAAAATCTGAGGTAGAAGAAATTGATAGTGGAGATGGTTGGCTTGGTCGCTCAATCCCTGCTCAACTTGACTGACTTGATTCCTTTTTTCATTCGAGTGATGCCTACCCCGTGACCGTTTTCTGAAAGCTCAAGTGGTCCATCACGAATTTTAGTTTTCTTAAGCTCTAAGATTATCCTAATTCGATGTCCATAAATAAGGTTAGTCATTTTAATCTAGGGTATCTCTCATAAAACCTAAAATCTGTCTCTTACATCTTTAGAGAGCCAAGAACAAGTCCTAGATCCCTATAATCCAAAAGACCATTTTACTTTGATCCTTCAACTCAAGTAAGAAAAGCAGATCCAGCAGAGAACCACCAAACCCATATTAGATGTGTGCATATCATAATCTTGGACAGGAGTTCTTGAAGATTGCTCAAAAAACTTAAACGGATCGTTGTGTTTGATCGTGTCCAAGTGAAGCTAGTTCTCAAGACCTCGTGGTGTGCGTATCCTTAGGGATAGGATAACAGAAGAAAGCATCTAGTCATGGATGAATTGGTTGAGATATAAGACTTATATCCTTGTAATCAATTTTTAGAATAGTGGATTAGGTTAGGTGAACCAAGATCATTTTCGCAATTTTTCATGATAAGGTTTCCACGTTAAATTGCTTGTGTTCGTGGTTTGTTGATTTATTGTTTTATCTTAGCACAAACACACACACTTGCAATAGCACACACTAATAATGTGTTTGAAAAATTGATTCATAAATAGTTATATTCAATAGCTTCATCAATTTAGTTGTTGGGGTGGTTGGATTGTTGTTGGGTTGTTAATTGATACATCTTGCATCCATTCATCAATGAAGAATATATTCTAATTGAAAAAGGGGTTCAATAAGCTTAATTGACAAATTAATTGATTAATTTGGTAATTGTAGTTTATACGTTTCAAAATTAGTGTCTGTTCAATCGGGAAGTGTCATAAATCTATTCACCCTCCTCTAGGTCGTACGAGTGTAGATCTCCTGTATAATCGTGACAAAAAGATCCTACTACACTTCCCCCCATTTGATTTTTTTTTCCATTTTGCAAGAGCTTAGGGTCTATTGCACAAGCCTTGCATAGAATCGCATGTATATCCACAAATAAATGTCAAGCAAGCACAAGCTGAGGAAAAGAAAGAGAACCATTATAACATGTATAAGTGAGAGTTTATGGTACCTGTTGCCAATGTGTTGGAGGATCCTCAGGTGCAGTTGAAAGCACGAGGGCTTCATTGGGATTGGCACGCTTCTTTCTTTGGCTACCATTTGAAGGATGATCATTGGAAGACTCAAAAAGTGACAACAGTGCACCATTGTTTGTAGGACATAGAGGGGGACCATTGAATTCAACATCAAACCAAAAAGCAAACCCATGAAATGGAGCTGGAAAGCAAAGAAAAACTAGAGAGTAAACAATATGTAATCAAAGAACCTTTCGCTTACAAGAATAGAAATAAACTATACATGTCGATAACATAGGAGCACATGTCAAATGTAAAGAGAAAAAGATAAATAACATACAATAAAAAAAGCAAAACAAATATGAGGATGACACTGTAAGGGGGCATTACAGAGAGAGTACGGACGCACATGCAGAGTGCTAGAGATACTAAAGATTGTACCTCGCATCATTGACTGAAATTTATATCTTGTTGTAACAGATTCCAGCTCATGAATTTTGATCGTGCAGCAGTCTACATGCTTCACCTGTCATCAAATACACATGCAATCTATAAAGACTTATACTGGATCTAGTCAAAAAATATGTAAGCACGGAAGTTATTAAAGCTATGCAGAGATCAACAGGAAGCATGGCATAACATATATTAAGCTATCTTACACAAAACACAATGACATTGCCATAAATACATTCAGCTGTCGTACACAAGACACACAAAGACACCCATACACAGGTTATAATATACCAATCAACGTGCAGAGTGTTGTGGAACTATGCCTTTTCTGCAACTGATTAAAAAAAAGTAATAAATATTGAAAAGGAAAGAAGATACTTTTATGCAACATGGGGAACAAGTATAAAATCCACCTTTGGCTGCATACCTTCTTACAATCCAAATTTGGTTACCTAACTCCTTTTCTTTTCTAGAAAAAAACCAACTAGGTTGTTAGATCATGTTTGTAATTGGCTAATTTTGTGGAGTCCATTATAAAATCTCAACCACTTCCATACTCATGATACTATCAAGTTCAAGATCCAAAAACTACATTGAATGGAGGAAATCAAGTGTCAAAACTACATCATTCCACTTCTGTATGCACCTTCATGTTTAAGACAAATGTAATGACCTAAATATCTAAGATGACCCCTTAGTTATTTTCAACTTAGGATGATTAGGATGAAAAATGAAATTGGAAGCAATCCGATTATGATTCCTAAGGGTTATAAAAAAAAAAAAATTTCTAAACCAATTTTGTGTTTTGAAAACATAGGTTGAGTCACAATCAGACCCCTATTTGAGCAACACTCTTTAGTGCTCAAGACCCCTATTTGAGCAACACTCTTTAGTGCTTAAGAAGACAAGTTTTTACATGGTTTTAGGCTTAAAAAACCCGTAGGGGCAACCCTATATCCACTAGTTTTCGCTAGAACGGTCTCTTGATGACTTACAAGCAAAAGGGAAAAAGGTCACGCAAGGCAGCATAGGGCTAGCTCTATGAGCTCGCTCAAGCAATCTCCATGGTCGCTCAAGCAGTGCTTGCCTCAGTCGGGATTGGAATGCAATTTTCACTCTAGCGACAACCGCCTTATAACCACCTCCCACTAATTGAGTGATTGTTTGCGAATTTGAATTTTCTTATTTACTAAGACTACCCTTATTCCAAACCTATAAATAGAGTGTCTTTCTCACATCTAGAGAGCTTTTAGAGAGATTTTTTAGGAAGAAATCTATCTTTCAACCTTGAATATTTCCACCACAACCTAGATCCCTAAGAATCTAAAGGCTACCACTAGTAATTCTTCCCATCCTCACAAAATGGAGTAGGAGAGCTTGTTAGTGAACAAACTCATTGGTGTGTGCTTACTAAGGATTGTTAGTGTGCCCATAATCACTCGAGGCCATAGCAAGGAACTGAGCATCTAGCCATAGAGATTGATTGAAGTATAAGACTCAAGTATTTGAATGTTAACTTAGCGCGTAGTGGATTAAACTTTAGTGAACCCTGAGTTGTTTCCTGCAGTTTTTCCTGAGGAGAGTTTAGCGTGTCAACAAATTGCTTGTCTCTTATTGATTATTGTACACGCTTGCATTTGTTAGCACACACGCACAGTATTTTAGATATTTTGATGTTAGATTTCATATCATCCAAAGTTGTGCAATTGGGTTTGTGGGATTTGGGATCGCCGTGAGATTGATTATGAGTGAATTAATTGTAAATTAATTAAAATTAATCGTCATGGCTAATTGGGTTGGTGGTGTTTGAAAGGGATCCTCACATTTATTGTTGCATCTTTGTGAGAAGAGGTAATTGAGATAAATATAGATTTTAATTCATAATCAATTTGGGCTAAAATTTAAAAACCTATTCACTCCCCCCCCCCTTTTCTCAGATTAGGTGTATTAGTCTCCACGTGTATAATCGTGAGAAAAGATCCACATTGAGTTCCCCCTCCCGGAACAGCATAGATAATAATATAATTCATGTAGCATCTTACATTAAATTTCACGTTGTAATAGTTATTACATTTTTTAACAGCAATACATTTTATTACATAAATCTGTTGTGTCATGATTAACACCAATTTTTATACACAGTTGATCCCACACCCAAGTAAAGAATGAAGGTCAAGTTAGGTAACTGACATTCTACATAGTATCAAATCTCTAATGAACATAAATTCTAAGAACATATGTGTACATAATAGCACATCTCCTTAAGCGATGCATTACACTTGCAACGCGTTGTCTAAAAAAAATGGGCAAGGGTGCCACATTTTAACCATCCACCTGATGCGAAAAATGTGCAAGGGTTTCCACATCACTCTGGACTAGTGCAAATAAAGAGGTTAGTTTAGGATACGAAACGTAGGTTAGCAACTTAGATAGTAGAAAAGTTAATACATCATGTTTAGAGAAAACTAAGTGAAATGTAAAGTATATGACATGAACTTTATTATACCGAAAATGATAGACATGGAATTGAAGTTGGAATAGTATTTTATCAAAATCTTGAACGAGAGAAGTCTATGTTATTAGGAAAGAGAGAATAATCTAAGTGTAAATTTCAAGGGAACCCCAATAATTAGGGTTAGTGACATAGGAAAACCTTTAACATTCTAGAAATAGCATGACAAGCTCAACTGAAGTTAGACTTGTCAGGCGTTAAATGTGTCCGAAGTTAACAGAATTGGCAAAGTGATTGAATTGACCTTCCTCTGAATTCATTTAAAAAGAAAAAGAATCATTAAGCATAATTTCTATCTAATTTTAGATTAAATTCAATTAATTCTACTCATTAAAAGTCAAATTACCATCCAATCACCTCTTGCCCCCACCAAGCATTGCACACCCTTTCTTCTCCAGCCTCTCCCCCTCCTCATCCACAGCACTAAAGCACTTCCAACAACCACCACACAATTGTTCCCTCCATCTCCACCAACCACAACATTGTTCTCTCTATGCACACATGCATCCACAATCGCAACCCAACCTTCAACCATCCCCTACATCTGCTTGCACCACCCACAACTTCCCTCCCTCCACGCACACACATCCACAATCACAACTCAACCTCCACCCACCTACGCTGCACCACATATGAATCCACCACCTACAACAAACCAACCTAGAGATCTGCTTGAAATAGTGAGGTCCAAAACCTAAATATCAAGAGAACAAAAAAGTAGAATCCATCATAGGTATCTAAGATACACAAAGAGAATAGTGTTAGGTTAGGTATGTCAGCTGGGGTGGTGGAGGGTAGGATGGAGGGAATAGGGCGAGGAAGGATCCAACTATTTAGGGAGGGGGGGAAGAGAGAGAGGGGGAATGGGGTGGGGTGGGAGAAGCGAGGTGGCAAAGGGAGAGAGAGAGTTTGTGAGAGGAAAAAGTTGAGATATGTGTTTTAGTAGGGTATGGGCGTCAAGTTTGGGTTTGGAGTCTTTGGACATGAAATTGGGTATCGTTATTTTTTTTTTCTAGATGAACATATAACTTTAAACTCTAGTTGGCAAATGATCTTCTAGCATTTTTAGGTCAAAAAATGGTAACTTTGGAAATAAATAATTTTTTAAGGCCAACAACAACATTTTTCGTTAGGTTTTTAACTTTAGTACGACAGAGGAGGCAATGGATTGTTTTTTGAATATTAGGGGGTCGTGTCATTTGATCTGAGGTGAAGGGGGTCATGTGAAAATTATCCTTACAGAATTTAAGTTTGTAAGAGGAAGAGGTATTACTAATACTATCACTACTTACTCATCTCAAGTAGTCTTGGATGAACACAATAAAACTTAGTTTCTAGAGTATACGGATGAATTAAACCACAAATAATTCCAAGAGAGAAATTATGCAAAAGAGCTTACTTTTGTGGCATATAGGAAAAGATTGGGAAGATATCAGATTACCCATGTTAGGCATGCGTTTAGAGAAAGGAAGGATGTTAGGGTGTCTATAATAGATTAGTGATAGCAAATATTTATTTAAAACAAAGATGAACACTCAATAACCTTTAAAATTGGGTTAAATATGAGTCAAGTACAGGATTTTATAACTCTAAAAATTGATCATTTTTATTACAAGAAATGTAAGGTTATCCTAGGAGAGAGCTCGACAACACAAAATAGGATAACGATATTATATGTGCACAAAAATAGTTTGAGACAAAGAAAAGAGTTTAAAAATACAAGAACCAGGTGGTGGAACATCAAAGGAGAAATATTAATTTTTCTCGAGGATAAAATACTAAAAATGTAATACACAATTTAGAAACCAATGATGACACAATGAATTAGAAGAACATTATTAGAGGTTCTTGGAAAATCAAAAGTTAATGGACCAGTTAGCCAAAGAAAATAGGTGGAACAAAGAGATTCAACCGACAAAGAATGGGTTAAAATATTACATAAAAACTAGAAATGATGAAACTTCTATACTCTATAAGCTTGCAAATAAAGAAGTTAAAAAGCCGATAAGAAACCCTAAGCACAAAGCATATATAATGACATTTATTCTAAACTAGGTATAAAGAATTGTGGAAAAAAAATATATAGACTTGCTAAACTTAAAAAAAAAAGAAGCTCTAGGCATTTTATCTTATTAGATTAGATGTATTAAAAAGGAAGATTTAAGTGTCTTGATATGAAACAAAAAAATATTAAGAAAATGTGTAAAAGTTACTCTGAGAAGTTATTCAATGCAAGGATTGAAATATCGTGTCAAAACGTTTCAAGTCTGAAACGTTTCGGATTTTCAACACACCGACACGAAACAAGGGTGGAAAACTAAGATTCCAGCGTTTTGAGTGAAATGTTACTATTTCGATCGAAACAGTAATGTTTCAGTCAAAACGGGGACTTGATTTGACTTGCAGTGTCTAGACTCCAGACTCCTTCAGCTAAAAAAAGGAGAACTTCTTTCCCTGTGACAGCTTCTCCAACAAAACAGAAGAGAGAGAGATACACAAAAAAGACAAGCTCAGAAATTGAAAGGAGATTAGTTCGCGGCTTACCAGGGGTCGTCCTCGCGTTCAGATCCAACCTCCTGGTACAATTTTCTTCTTTTTTCTTCTTTTCTCTTCTTCTCTGTCGGTGGCTAGTGCTGGGTCTTCATCGATCTGTCTTTTCTCTCTTCATCGATCGGAGTCTTCATCGATCAAAGTCTTCATCGATCGGAGTCTCAGATCTTTCTCTCTCTCTCGTAGTTGATCAGAATCTCTGGTCTTCTCTCTGGTCTATGCGATTGGAATGAAGGTGTCACCGACTCACTGTTTGCCCTTTCTATTTTGTTTTAATTAATATAAATGTCATTTCAGCCCCCCATTTTATCCTTTATAGTTGTTAATAGCCCTTATAATTAATAAATAACTTATTATCGTTAATTATCTTATCAAAATAACTGCAATTAATTTTATGGTATATTTAATATCTAAAATTAAGTATTTATGTTTGTAAAAATTATTCATGTAATATTTTTAATATTAATGAAATAATATTACTTAGTAATTTGATGACAATTTAAATTAGTAATTTAATATTATAATAACATGCAAAAAATAAATTTGTACTCATTTTAATTTAAAAGTGTTATACATGTCATATTTAATTTAAAATGGTCATATATACATGTAAAAATGTGCTTGTTTTATAAAAATTAATTGTTTAAAACTAATTGAAATAATTTCCGCCTTGTGTCAAACCCTTTTTTTTTTCCTCAAACTTGATGTTATCTTATTTAAATAGACATTAATCTAATAAACATGCTCAATTAATCAATTATTAAGCTTATCTTTACAAATAAATAGATTGTATTTGTGTTTTCACGTGTTTCCATATTTTTTCTGCGTTTCTGAAACGTTTCTATTTTGGACTGACTGAAACTGTACTTCGAAACGATATTTCAATCTTTGATTCAATGAAAATCATATGGGGAGCTTAGATGTTGAAGAATATAACAAAAATAGGAGATAAGCGAAAACTTGTTTTCCTGTAGAATTAAGGCGTCCAAATTAACTACTGTGTTAAAGCGAATACAGATTGACAATTTTAGGACCTAATTGGATACTAATTGAGATTTGGTAGTGTTTAGATGATGTTGGATTATCTTGGTCACCTAAATAATTTAACAAGATTATAACAAATAATAAGTGTTGGTGAAAGGAGGTTGTTTGTGTACCCATATAAAAACAAAAGATAAATTTAGAGTTGCACAAATTATCTCTATATTCGATTGATGAATCAAGTAATCAAACATTTGGAGAGTAATCGAACAACATTTAAGACTTGAAACAACAAATATTGGATAATCAGGTTAAATTTAATACCTAGGAGGTCAACAATGAAAGCTATCTACTAACTAACAAGACTAATAGAGTGGTATAGATATAAAACAAAATAAAGATCAATATAAGAATTCTATAGACTAAGAAAACTAGTGATAGAGTTGTTGTAGTTGTCATTCGTTGAGTTATAGAAAAGAAAGAGTTAAAAGCAGGTATATTGACCTAAGGAACAACTTGTTCAGAAACTAAGTATGGTTGATATGCGGGTGTCAAAATGAATGAGTAGTAAGGCAAGAAATGATAGAAACAAGTATGTTCATTAAATCATAGAAGTAACACCAATAAAAAATAATTTAAGAAACAATCATCTTATATGATTTGGACACGTTTAGATAAGACTTAGTATAGCACTTGTGAGGAAAAGTAATATGATTATTATCGTTGATAATGCAAGAGTTAGAGAGACTCGAATTAACTTTGAATGATGCAGTAAATAAAGGTATGATAGCTTGTAGTTTAAAACAAATTATGACACTTGATAGAGCACAATGGAGGAGCATGATTCATATAGCCGATCTCCAATAGTTGTGATAAGGCTGAGTTGAGTTGAATATGTTTTTTCTTTAACCAACTGCAGAAATGCCATAGTTCTACAATATCATGCCTCCCTTTCTAACTAGGCACAATAGTGCATTTCTTATCAGTTTTGCTAGTCAATTTATGCAGAATTCTAAAATAGAGTACTTTGATGCTAGGCAAACAATTGTGTGATATTTAGAGAAGACTCCAAAAAATGGGATCATTTTTAAGACCTCTAGCTCTCTTGAATGTTGTTGGATTTTCTGATACTGGTTGTACTGGTGATTGTTTGGTCTGGAATTCAATAACAAGGCACTATGTATTTACCGGTAGTAATTTTGTTTCATGGAAGAGTGAAATATAATGTTCTGGCTAGGTCAAGACGCGAGTAAACCCTATGTTGCAAAAAATTGGTATACTTATTGACAAACTCATGAGAATGTTTTTGTGACCATTGGACAATTATCCTGATTGTTGTTGATACATGATTCCAATATCAAAATAAGCATATAGAAGTTGATAGCCATTTTGCTTGAGATCTTTGATGATGAATAATATTTATGAGTAGTCTAGAGATTAGTTGGGTGATATGTTACTAAAGCTTAGAAGACAATATTCTGAGCTATATACAACAAGCTGAACATGACAGATATCTCTACTCCAACATCAGAGAGTGTTGAAAGACATTATAAAGACATGGAGTACTTATGTAATTGTGACTTTTATAATCTAACATACATAGAAATATTTATATACCCACTTAGGGGCTATGGGTTTTCCCTACATTTTTCTTTTCCTAAAGAACCTTCATATCTTTAGGTCACATTGGCCTTGTCAAATCTTCCATGTTACAACTTATTTTCTCCCCACTCTTAGAATTTGTAGCCTTATATTTAGTGCTTTCTCAAGCATGATAATTAACAGTCTGAGCTAGGAAGAAACTTGAAGAAAGTTCAGCTATTCCATATTTGTCCTCTTTTTTGGAACTTCTTTTCAAAGCCTTTGCTCAAGAGCATAAGCAAGTGATTCACTTACAATTTATTGACCTAACGTCTGAGTTGTTTCCTTTTATCTCCAGAAGAAAGTAACAATTTGTTATCATATTCTCCGCTCTTTGGTTTTCTATTCCCTCCAGCAATTGTCAATTCTAATTTCAAATCACAAGCTTCTGGCAGCACTTTTAAGTGATAAAGCAAATTATTAGACAAAAATTAGACTTAATATACCAGCAAGGAAAACAGCAATCTCAAATAACAAAGCAAAGAAAGTGGCATGCTTCTGCAGTATCACTGTCACTAGTCAATATTGGCTCAAAGTTTCAGGAATCTTCTAGACACAAAAGAACAACTGAAAATGAAAGGACTCACCACATGTGGCCACGTCAGGACATTTTCACCGGTAATTGTCTCTACAGATGGCTCTTCAAATGCACACTGTTTTGCTAGAGACAGCATAGCAGACACTGCAATCAGTAATAGAATTGCAACCGTCAGCTTCACAAAATATCCAGGAAAAAAATTGACAACAAAAGACTGTCAAAGCAAAATATATCAACTCTTCACATGCTTCAACCTCAAGATAACAAAGAAAATAGAAAGAGAAATAATCAAAAGGTGCATTTCTCGCAGTTGAACTCTATTGTCACGAAATGTAAGCCAATTCTCATGGCTATGCCCAGACATGGGGCATCTGACTGACGGGAATATCATCTGATGCAAAGACAGAACAACTTGAGCAGATGAAGAAGTATATTTCTTCCTAGGCCTAAGTTAGGGACCTGAATCAAACATTAAAAAATGCCACACTGCCATTTTCCCTCTCATATCTTATTTCTTTTGGTTTCCTCCTTTGCTAACAGAGTCTGATAGAAACTGAAACAAAATCATCACCGATACATAACAAACATCAACAAATGAAAGCATAACATAAAAATCAAAAGAGATGAAACTCACATCAGGCAAACACATACACGACATGAGAGAGAGAGAGAATGGAAATCATGATTATTAGATAGCTTTCAGAAAAGAATCAATGAAAACAAAACTCAATCAGGTTCAAGTTCAACAGCTAAAACTCAACAACAATTATAAAGCAACGTGAGATATATTATGGTAGGTCTCAAACGATGGCACAGCAGAATAACTAGATGGCATTTGCATATGTTGACTAATGTAGCCCAGAAGCGTTTATCTCTTTTCCAGAAAGTCAAGGTTGTTGACCTAAAAGTCCTCAAGGAGCGTTAATGCTTGTCAAGTGGCTTTGCATGTGCACAGATCTGGCTTCACACACGCTGATCTGATTTCACATGCAAAGATTTGATCTGTTAGTTGTTAGCTCTCTGAATTGCACTATAAATGAATTGCATTATAAAAGGGATGTGTAGGCAAACGTTCAAGTCCCACAACAACTCACTCCAACAAGAGAGAATGTACTCATCTCACTAGTATCACTTAACTCTTAGATGCTTACATCTCTCTACTCTACGTTTTTTCTGATGCCTGATCGCGTACCCAAACATCCCTTTTATATTGCAATACAGAGAGCTAACGGCCAATGGATCGGATAGGATAGGCGCATGTTAAGCCAGATCTGTGTGCATGCAAAGCCACCAAACAAGCATTAACCCTCCCAGGACTTCTAGGCCAACAACCTTAACTTTCTTGACTTTCTGCCAAAACCATAAAAGGTTCTAAGACACCTAAGTCAACAATTCTCCAGTTTAACCAGAAGCCACTCGACCCATCTCCAAAACTAGTTCCCGATCGTCGTCTATGATGTGCCTCGCAAGGCATTCAAACTGATAGGATGTTGATCAAGTCCAAGCAATGCTCAAACTTGATCGCAAACATGTTTGATAGTATCATACGATATATGACACATATCATACGATATGTTTCAATACATGAAAAAAACTATATGTATCGCTTAAGCGTATCGGATTGCGATAAACGATACAAGACGTTCGAGTCATAAGATACGAGGCAAAACATTTAAAATTTTTAGCGAAAGATTTCAACTGAGAAATGATGTCGTTTCACATGGAAGTAATTTTTTTAAAACACTAGGCAGTGAATGACGTCGTTTCATTATATAGGATTCTAATGGAGCAAATAGTTGGATGGTTAGAAGAGGACTTCTTTGACTCCTTTGGAAGTTAGAACTAGAAGTCTCTAAATCTTTAAATTATGTATATGCAAATATTTGTGGTGAAATAAAATATTAATATTATCATTTTCCATAGGCATATGTATATTATATAAAATTTTGCATATCTTATAATACACGACACGTTATAATAGGCGATACACGTACGTTACAATACATGATATACTATTTTTTAAAAACGATACGTCTTCCGATACACGCTTTTACAACCTTGATTACAGGAACTACATTAGTCATCATGTTAGTCGAATTATCTATTGTAGCAAATTTTTCCCCCGTAATCGGGTTCTGAGAAATAATTGATAATTATAACCAAAAAGAAAAGGAAGAGAAGAAATAGAGAAAGAGAAAATATTAATGCAACACCATTAATCTGTATTACAGTATAATCAGAAAAATACACAATAGAGGCCCTTATATAGTGGGCCATTATAAAAGAAAGCGAAAAAATTATCCCTTATACTAAATATACTAAACTATTCTAACTCCACCCTCCTCAAACTCTTGATGTTTTCTATTATTACATCATGAGTTTGACAAGAAGAAAGCAAAAGCGCACAATGGTATGAGACACCAGTTTCTCATATATAAACATATAAACAGCAACTTCGTGAAGAAATCTGCTAACTACATAATAAAAGAAAAAAAAAAGGGAAACAAAAAGTCAATCTCTATATGCTTTATACGCTCATAGAATACTGAGTTGTGAGCAATCTGAATATTACTAGTGTTATCGCGGTAAGAGTAGACAAAGACATAAGGTGTCATGGTTCAAAGTATCGACATATACCGATACAAGTCAGTCGAGTCGTATCAGACTCAGTACCATCCAAGACATACTGTTACATGATATGTATAAACCCCGAGTATTGCACGACTTAGCCAAGTCGTTTGAGTTGTATCTAAGTCAATCCGGAGTCGACAAGTTATCGTCACTGAATTGACCAATACGGTTTCACATAGTGTTATAAAAAGCTCGCCTAGGCGAGAAGTGAAGCGAGACGAGGCAAGGTTGTCTCCCCTTAAACAACCAAGGCGAAGCAAACATGACTGAAGCGATTAAAAGCGAGAAAAGCGAGTACCTCTCACTTAAGCGAAAGGCAAGAATATCAAGCACCTTAGTTGAGTTTTTAAAGTAACATTATTTTTTAATTATGGACTGTTGGATTGTTTTTTTTTTTATTATGGACTATTAGATTGGGGCAATTGGAACAAAATTATGAGATGCCCATACACCCAATTGCCCCCTTATCCCAATATATACAACACTCAAACCCTAATTTTGCCTAAAAGGTCAGACGACTGCTGTTGCTCCTTCCTCACTAATCCACACTCCACAAGTTTCTCTTCTTTTTCTTCTCTCTTCTTCTCTATTTCTGCCCTTCTTCTTTTAATTCTTCTTCTAGCTTCACAGCTTTGCATCTGCTGCTCTGTCTTCTTCTTTGACAAAAAACAAAACCACACACAAGTATTGTTTTTTCTCAATTTCTTTCCTCCTCTTCTCTTCTTCTTTTACTTTTTTAATTCTTCTTTTTCTTCTTTGATAGAAAATACAATACCTGTTGCTTCTTCTTCTTCCTCTTCCTCTTCCTCTTCTTTGTTTGATGTTGATTTTATGTAAATGCTTATTTTGCTAATTCTGCTTTTTTTTCCTGATTCTGCTAATTTTTTGTAATGCTTAATTCTGATTTTCTGTAATGTTTTTGCTTATTTTTTGTACTACTTATTTTTGCTGATTATGTACTGCTTATTTCTACTAATTTTGTATAGCTTATTTCTGCTAATTCTGATTTTCTGTAATGTTGATTTTGCTTATGGTAGTGTTGATTTTTGTAATATTGAATGTTGTTTTTATGTAATGTTGAATATTGTTTTTCTGTAATCCTGAATGATGATTTTCTGTAATGCTGAAAGTTGATTTTTTGCAATCCTAATTTTTCTGTAATACATTTGAACTTGATGATTTTTATGTAATGCATTTGAATTTGAATTTAAATGTTTATGGTTTTGCTTGTATTTAAATATTTAGTATTTATAAAATTAGAACTTAGATATTTAGAAGTAATTACACTAAAATATTTACTTTTTTTATTGACTGTTCGCATCGCTTTGGTGAAACATTTCACTTCGCTTCTGGCTTCTCGCCTAAGTTTTAGGAGTCTTGGTCGCTTCAGTTTACTTTATGCCTTAAATAACGCTGGCTTCTATGACGTTGTTGTATCACCACGTGTTTGATCTGATAAGTTCAATATTATTGTACTCTTGGTGCACGTCTAGCCATACTCTCGTGGACTTTACAATTAAGTTAAATACTAAGAGTGGTGAAATTTTTAATAATATAGAGCATTATCAAAGGTTTGATTGGTAAGCTAATTTATCTTACAGCTACATGTCAGAATATTACCTATGTTATTGGTTTTATTATTCAGTTCATGCATGCTTACAAGGAGTATCATTGGAAGGCAATTTGTCGTATTCTTCGATATCTAAAAGTAGTGTTTTGAAAAGCTCACCTAGGCGAGAAACGAGGCGAAGCGAAGGTATCTCGCCTTGAATACCCCAGGCGAAGCGAATGTGACTGAAGCGAGAAAAAAGCGATAAAAACGAGCGCCTTTCGCTTAAGCGAAAGGCGAAAGAACGCCTTAGTCATGCGAGGCAAAGTAATCTTTTATTTTTATTGTGGACCGTTAGATTGTTTTATTTTTATTGTAAACCGTTGGATTGGGGCAATTGGAAAAAAAATTATAAGATGTCAATACACCCAATTACCCCCTTATCCCATAAACATAAAACTCAAACCCTAATTTTCAGCATCAGACAATCTCTACTGCTCTTTCCTCTCACTATCGGTGCTGCACCTTCCTCTCACGATCGGTGTTGCTGCTTCTTCCTCTCTGGTCAGGCGATTGCTGCTGTTGTGTTGTTTCTTGCTCACTGGTCAGAGATGAAGACTGTTGCTGCTTCTCCTTCCTCGTTGGTTCAGGTTTGTCTCCTCTTTTTCTTCTCTCTTCTGTATCTCTTCTTCCCCTCTGATTCTGTTTTTTTTTTTTTTGCTTCTTCTTTCTCTTTTTTTTTATGCTTCTTCTTTCTGTTTTTTTTTTTCTGCTTCTTTTTTTTTCAGCTTCTTCTTTCTAGTTCTTCTTCTTATTTTTTTTTCTACTTCTTCTTCTTTTTCTTTTTTTTTCTGGTTCTTCTTTCTGTTTTTTTTTTTCTGGTTCTTCTTCTTTTTCTGATTTTTCTGATGATTCTGATTTTCTGGTTCTGATTTTGATTTTTAGCTAATGATTCTGATTTTAATACTGCTGATTTTTGAATAGCTACTAATTTTAATGCTGCTGATTTTAATTCTGATTTTTTATTTTAATGCTGCTGATTCTGAATAGTTGATTTTGCTGAAATGCTAAATGCTGAATTTAATGCTGCTTATTTTTTGCTCTAATGCTGATAGTGCTGTAATGTTGTAATGCTGCTGATTCTGAATAACTGATTTTGCTGATAGTGCTGTAATAGCTGATTTTTGATTTTAATGTTGATGATTGTGGGATATTATTAGTGTTTGTTTGAATTTAATTGTTTAAACTATGACTGTTATTAAGATTTGAGATATTATTAGTGTTTTTTTTTAATTTAAATGTTTATGGTTTAGTTGCATTTAAATATTTAGTGTATATAAATTAGAATTTAGATGTTTAGAAATAATTAAACTAAAATATTTATTTTTTTTTTAATTGTTCGCTTCGCTTCGGTAAAGCATTTCGCTTCGCTTGGCTTCTCGCTTCTCGCCTCTCGCCTAGGCGTTAGGAGCCTTGGTCGCTTCAGTTCACTTTACGCCTTAAATAACACTGTCTAAAAGGAGCACCGAGTAAAAGATTGTTGTATCGTTCTTCATCATCTATGACTATTATTAGTTTTTCTGATGCTGACTAGGCAAATAGTCGTGTTGATAGACAATCAACTTTGGATAACTGTACATTTATTGGTGACAATCTTGGGATGTGGCGCACCAAGAAACTTAATGTAGTTGCACGTTCGAGTGTAGAGACTGAATATCAAGTCATGGCTTATACTATGTGTGAAAATGTCGTGGTTTCTTTCTTTACTTCATGATATGTGTATCAATGTGCCCTCTCCTATGGAAATGTGTCGTGGCAAACAAACAGCTATTTTAATTACCAATAATCTGATCTTTTATGAGAAAACTAAACACATTGAAACAAATTGTCATTTTATTCGAGATCTACTGCTGCGAAAGGAGATTATCACACCATACATCAAGTCTAGTAATCACGTAGGTAATATCCTTACCAAACTATTGGCTTGATCTATCTTCACAAATCTTTGTTTCAGGCTGGCATCTTTGATCTTTAAACTCCAGCTTGAGGAAAAGTGTTAAGAGTTCTTATTTTATATTATCAGAAGTGTAGGGTAAGAAGGAAAAAAAAGAGAAAAGCATAAAAATATGAAGGGTAGTACATTAGGTCACACAACTACACCCCTTGGTGTATATAAACACAAATACAGATATACTAAACTTATAAACAATGCATAACATAGCACAATCCAATGTAGCATGATCATTGTTCGAATTACGACATGATTTGCACAATTTGTACTCACTATCAATTCCATAGACATTGCGCCAGAAATCAATGCTTTCACTGTATCGGTCGGAATGAGTGACAGGTGCCATGTACAACTGTAGACAGTAAAAAATAATTATTTGCAAATTCGGAAAACTAACACAACACAGCCCTACCCCCGGCAAAGCGGCATTGGCCATATCTCCCAATATGCATTAGTCTAGTACTATTGTTAGATTATTTATACATTATCTTACCTGATATCACTGCTTAAATACTTCATCTTCAATTTGATATACATTATGTTCAAAAGAAAATTGAAGTACATTGGAACATGCCCCATAAAGACCAATAAATCATCAAAATAATCTTTTAAATGTCAATTTAACCACGAGCAAAATGAGGGAAAGTTGCGTACCGTAGCATTTGAAGGAATGATGAGACCCCCAGGCTTTAGCCAACGGTCTCTGGCAGTAATTACACTCCCCAACATGCTCTACAAATGAGGAGCATTTTGAAAGATGAAGCAATTTTAAAAAAGAGAAATGGAAAATCTCAAACAAAATACATGGTTCGTAACATATCGTAACACCTCGATGCTCAATCAAGTACACAAAAATCATAATCACCTCATACAGAAGCATGTAACCCATCCACTCTGAAACTATAACATCAACCTCTTCATTAATTTCGACATCCTGCAGTGAACAGAAAAAGTGGGACAGCCGTTTTGAAAATCTAATTATCAAAAATCCAAAAGAAATTCACAACCTTAACCCTAGATTGAATTACAAGTTAGAGCAAGAAAAGAAAACAATCTCAATGGCATCAACATTTTCAGTTGTTAATTGGAACGCTTAGTAAAAGATTGTTAGAGCTTGTCCCACGTTGGTAAAATAGCACTTAGTTTGCCCATCCGCTCATTGTCAATTGGTTCTGAGGTGGATGCTTTAACACGGTATTTGATTTAAGCTTGGGGAGGGTTTGAGCAAGACTCAATATCCTTGTTCTAGTAATAGATTCCCCCTGGTTAGGATTATAGGTGCACGCGTTATGCCTTTAAATTTGTGTTCTTATTCTTCGTGTGGGGAGTGTTAAAGCTTGTCCTACATCCATAAAATAACACCTGCCAAACCTATATATGGGCCTTGTAGACTTCTTCATTCATTGATAATTAGTTTTTGTTGTTCCGGAAAGGAAATAAACGATCTGGATCTTCCCTTACGATTATACACATGGATTACATGACACTAACCAGAGAGGGGTGAATAGGTTAATTAAAATTTAAGCTCGGGTGGTCACCAATTTTAACATAAATCTACCACAATTACCTCTTCACACAATGATATAAAAATTAAGGGTGAGAATCCCTTTTTAACCACCACGACCCCTTGAACCCATGAAGATTAGTGTATTGATTTTATCAATTAATTACTCAACACTCAATCTCTCACTAGGACCCTAACTAAAGACCCAAAACTTGATGCACAATTATGGATGATAAAAATAATCAATCAATCATTCAATCAAACAAATAGTATGCCTGTGTGCTTAAATTACAAGTGTAAATGAAATGCAACAAATAACACAATTGATTTGTTGATGCAGAAACCCTCCTCGGGAAAAACCACGGAACCTCTCGAAGTTCACTAAAAGTCTAATCCACTACCCCAAAATTAGCTTACAAGTACTCGAGTCTTATACTTCAACCAATACCATGGTTAGATGCTCCCTTCCTTCAATAAGTTTCTCCGCCAAAGTGCCTCTTCAACGTCTTAGATAGCTTCAATTGGATTCTCCACTGCAATAGATCCTCTAAATCTCGAGCAATCCTAGGACGCACCTAAGAATCTCGGTATGCACCCTTCCAATGGGTTTTGTCTTCAACCAAGCAAGTTTTTCTTCTCCAAGTTGTGAGGTTGGATGAGAATACTAGATGGTAGCCTTTGGGTTTAAGGATCTAAGATTGTGGTATGATCTCTAAAGTTTTAGAGGCAAAAATTCAACTCACAAAAGAGATACCCTAAGTTGTGAAAGGTTGTCTCTATTTATAGGTCCGAAATAAAGGTAATCTTGGCATTCTAAAAAACACAAATTTGCGAATGACCATTCAAGCAGTGATAGGGTTGTGGTCACTGGAATAAAAAACGAATTCCAAACCAACCTAGCAGAGTATGACTGCTCAAGGGACCTCTAAGACAGCTCGAGCAACCCAGAAGGCGACCCCAGCTCTTCCGTTTAGCCTTTTTCCAATCTTTTTCTCAGTCATGACGAGATCACTAGCGAAGGCTAGCAACCATAAGGTGGTTCCTATTGATTTTTTAAACATAAAACCAAGCAAAAAACTTGTCCTCTTAAACACTAATGGATATTGCTCAAGAGAAATGCGACGATGGTTCACATCTATATTTTCAAAACACACAAAAGGTTTAGAAAAACTTTTCTTTGAACAACACCTAGGAGTCGTACTCGGATCAAATACAGATTTCATTTTAACAATAATCCTCTCAAGTTTATTAAACCAAGAGATCATCTTAGATCTCAAGGTCATTACATTGTCCGAAGTAAGAAGGTGCATATGGAATGCTTTGACGCTTGATCTCTTCCCTTCTATTAATGCTTTCGGATCTTCATCATTGTAGCATCACGAGTATGAAATTGGTTGAAATTTACAATGACTTCACAAAATTAGCCAATTACAAAAACATGATCTTACAGTTTTGACTTAAATCTATATAATAAAATAGCTTATAATTCAAATCTCAAAAGATAAACAAAATGACATTTGCTATTCGCGGTTGAAATCGTTTTAAATTTTATTTTAAAGTTAATCTAACGGCTAATATTAACACCTTAAATTTAATAGAAAAAATAGACCCCCTAAGAGTGTGTTTGGAGTCTTTTTAAAAGTACTTTTAGAAATTATTTCTCATAAATACTTTTAAAAAAAAAGTATTTGAAACCGCCTTACCACGACCTCTACCACCACTACCGCCACCGCTGCCGCCACACACCACCACCGCCACCACCATTGCTATCGTTGTCAAAGTCATTGCCACCCACTACAATCATCACCGTCTCCTACCACCACCGTCGCCCACCACTTCTTACCCCCACTGCAAAAAGAGATGTTTAAATTCTTTTATCTCTTCTCTATGTTTGTGATTTGATTTTATATATAAATACAAATATATTTACTGTTTACCACCATTTTTTACTATATTGTGCCTGAAGGCACAGGTAATAACTAGTGTTTTAATAAAGAACAATAGAAGACATTCATAATCAACAATATAGCAGATATTGCAGGTAAATATAATGATTGACATGAAGGAATGTATAAACAATGTCCCTTTTATGAACACGGGGCACTGACAAAGTTTGACTCCACAACTCTATTTTAGGCCTTGGCATCATTTCCAACTAGAAAGCTATACTTCATCACCCTACACTTAACCAAAATTGGTGCAACTATCCCGATCGACAAACAACATTAAATCTTCAACAAATAAAACTTAACCATTTTTTTAAGCAATAGAAAACCCTTCATTTGTTTAGAAATGCCCACCTCAATGCGTCCATGCAAAACAATGACTGTGTCAGATAGGTTATTTGCCTTCACAACTTCTTTTGCCTAACAACAATTTCAAGAGAACAAGATCAGTTCAAAACCATGCATACCTTTGCGATCAATGCTTATTTTCACATGTATTTAAATTTTAAAAAAAAATCATAGACATGCCATTGTACGTTAAAATTCTTAATCTAGTATAAATAAAAAAATGTGCACCAAATACAATACGTTAGTGCACAAAATCAAACAAAACTATAATTCTTGAATACATATACTAGACTTTCGAAGCTATGAAGGTATCGGAAATAGTTTGGCAAGCTGCAAATGTAGCTTAAAAAACTACACCCCATTGCCAACATATTAAGTTACTTTTAACCCACAACAATTCAAATCATGTAAAAATTAAAGACATAAAAATATGCAGACCCAACTACCACTATTCCCATGTACTGTTCAGAGACTCAAAAACATATCTTTCTTTCTGACATTGAAACCCAAACCAAAAGACCTAAACTCTCATATCCTCGCTACCACAAAGCAATAGAGAATTAATTAAAATAAGCCTGCAAAAAACCTACCTTTACACTCTCATCAATCAGGAATAATAAAGGAAATAAGAAAATAATCATCAAGACAAAAGAATGAGAAGGATAAGCATAGTCAACTCTTCTTTCCATGTGTTTTTTGTCAAATAAATACATAAAAAAAAATAGGGGAAGGAATCAATATAAAATTAAGAAAACAAAAGGGGAGGTAGAAAGGAGAAGCTGGAGGAGATTGCGAAAAAGATCAACAAGCCAGAAACTGCACAAATAATAAAGAAGCTATTAATTTACCCAAAAATATAAAACAATTATTAATATACCCAAAAAAAAAAACAAAGAAGCTATTAATTAACATACATGAAATCATTATTTCCGTAATTTAGTAAGATAACAATGCATTGCACCAGCAAGGTGTCACGGGTGCAACCAAAACCCTTGATCTTTGTTTTGGCAATCTAGTAAAATATTCTCAGACAATTAGTTCATTCTCTTCCCTCTTCCCCTAAAAGTCCCCAAGTCAACTGAACCGCCGTATATCATTAGGGTATTTAAAGTCATCAAATTTGGGATAAATGACACTATAGATACATGATATTATAATATGGCATTGAGCGAGGTGGATCAGGACACCCTAAAGTATAGCACATCGAACCTGCCACAAGTCTCTCTTCCCTTTCCAAAGACCACTCCTATACTCACTAGGATATTATACCCCAAACTCATTCTACCAACATCCCATTGTCATCCCTTAGCAGTAATCATGATATGCTCTAGCCGCCACCCTTCCTTGCCAATGTCAGCAATACAAAATGTCCTACTTCATGATTCACGGCCTGGCAGAATAAAATTACACAAATAAAAACACGATCATATTTCTTAATCCATGAAGGGGCCACTAACTAGTTCAGTTGGATAAGCGTTGTGCTAACAACCATAAGGTTGTAAATTTAAATTTAAGGTCAGTCACTTCATCCAAATAATGTCAATTGTTTGATCTATAGGAAGCCCACTCCTCCCAATACCCCAAATTAACAAGGATCACACTGGATAATGACACTATGATATTATTTTCTCAATCAAAGGGTTTATAAAATTTGTTGCCGCAATAGCAAAGAAACAAGAAAGTCTCAATAGCAATCTCTTTTCAACCAATTACAAAACAAAACCCCTAGCACTAATCGGAAAGCCTAATCTTTTCACTTTTATAGGCTCTTCCAAAACCTATAGCAAACTTGATAAATACCCTCCTAATTAGACAATATACTCCAAAGATAATCCCAACCAATAAAAAATTAAAAAACCTTAAAATATTAAAAATTTGATTGAAACTCTCTCAAAATATGCTAATATCTCACTCCTGAGATCCTCCAACGTAAGTCTAACTGATAAACTTGCAAAGAAGATATCATCCTGATGCATCATTTCCTCCTAACAGAGAAGGAACTCAGCCACGACGACTTTGGCTACATGTAACTCTGAAAAAGGACTGGATGTAGTTATTGCATTGTTGTGGAGAAATCCCTAAGTTCTCTATCCGTAGCTTTCTGTTTCCCCTAACAAACACTCTTCCCAAAATGTCGTACAACATACATAAGAGTTTCTAACTCCAAGTGTTCAGCTGGCCAAGAAGGAAGACTTATGCTTGTAAAATATCAAAATAAGCCAAATGCTCAACAACATGGCATTTAATTTATAAAGATCAACTACATTGAAGATAAGAATGATAGTTAGGAACCACGAGAATTCTATTTTGGTCAGTGTCATGTCAAAAATGCTCAGACACATGTTGGACACGCTAAAATGAGTGCAATATTTTTTATTATTAATTTTTGGGTTAATTACAATTTGCCCCCTCCAAGTTTGGATCATGTTTCAATTAGCTCCTCATAGTTTCAATTTCTACAATTAGCCCCCTTTAAGTTTGAAGTTACTAAATTGACTAAAAAAAGTTGATGAAAAATATAAAATTTCTAGAATACCCCCGACCTTTAATGTTATTCTCCCTCTCCTCTTCATACCCAACAGTCCAAGATATTAGAAAAACCAAATTAGTCCACATAATACATTAGCCCCAACAAACCAAACCCAACCCCAACTCTGTCGGTCCCCTACCTTGTTCTTAAACTCCAACATTCCCCCAACCTTCTTCCCCATCACTGATGATCCTCCACCACCCCATACCCAACACCGGTAGTACCTCGAACCCCTAAAACTACCTACGATAGCCCCCCACCCTGATAACCAGCACTAGCCGTCTCCCTAAACCCCATCCCACCTCCAATGATTGAACAAAATCCATCCGAACAAACAAAATCAATCTTTGCCAATTACCACCACTTGGAACTTCTCCCTATTTCCCCTTATTTTCTTCTCCAAGCAACGAACCATGGCACATCTACTTTATGAAGCACGGACACTCTCGAGAATATGACGTATCTGTGTCGGACATCGACACTCTTCGGACACACTCGGACACGTGTTCGATACTCTTTTATCCGTGTCCATAATTAAATGATAAATTTTTAATTTCGGACACGTGTCAGACACATCTTTGGTGACATATCCTACACTTCTTTAGAACGTGTCTACCACTGAACAATCGGCATATATTGAAATATGATTAACAAAGGTTAAAATTTGAGAACATATAATTACTAATACTAGACATATTAAAGTTATACTCCAATTATAATAATAAAAACAAAAGATGCATAAAAGTTTTAAAAAGAAGAATTGAGAAAATTAAAGCAATTATTTAAATTATATATTAGGTACACATGGTCTACAAAAAACAATTGATGATTATTGACTATAATGAAGATGTTTTAGTCTAAAAATTTACACAGATGACTAGACAGTAAGTTTACTTATCATAAAATGCTGATTTTTTTATGAATTGTATATCATTATCACTATATTTGCAATAAATTATATAATGTTATATATAAAATATAATTTTTTTTGTAACGCGTCTGTCCTACTTTTTTTAGAAATGTCGTGTTGGTGTGTCCATATCGTGTCGTATCTGTGTCTCGTGTCTGTGTCCGTGTCCCTGCTTCTTAGCAGCTACTACATCTAGAATAATTTCACTGGGGAGAGGGTTTTTTGTTTAGGGTTTGTTATTGAGGGGTAGGGGGTGGGGGGGGTTTCGCCGGTGGAGGGAGTTTAATTTTCAAGGGTAGGGATAAGTTTTGCTAAATGAGGAAGGAGCAATTGTTGGGCTTACACCGAAGATGGGGTTTTGTGACCACTTGCTGGATTGGGGAGGTGGACAAATTCTCTCTCTCTCCCCCCAGATGGGTGTTGGCTTGTAGAGGATATATTTATATTGGGGTTGGGCTGTTTGGGGGCTACTATTAGGAGTGAGGGTGGGTTTCAATTTCTGTTTTCACTAGGTACGTGTGGGTTTCGGTTTCCCCAAAGGGGGGAAGGGGTTGGGTAATTACCAGTTGAGGGAAGATTGGGTTTTTAACTGAAGAAGATAGGGATTTTAGTTGCTTGGGAGTGAAGTAGGTTTCATCAAAGGAGGAAGGTGTTGGTTTTCACTAGAGGAACTCGTCGGCTTTCATTAGATTTTGCTTGTTTGATAGGTTTTGCTTGTGGAGGGTTGGATTGTTTCCTTTTTTTTATAGATTGAAGGGTATATATGTCTTTTAATTGTGTTAATGTTGACTTCTATTAATTTAGACGATCAAAGATAGCAACAATGGGGTGATTTAGTAACTTCAAAACTTAAAGGTGTCAAATTATCGAAATTGAAACCACGAGCAGCTGATTGAAACATGACCCAAACTTGGAGGGAGCATTTTATAATTAACCCTAACTTTTTCAAGAAAGGTTGGGACACGCAGCCAACACATGTTGGACATGTTTTGATATTTTTTTCAAAATTTTAAAAAACTTTACAAGTAACTTTTTCATTAAGGAAGTTATTTTTATAATTTTAAAGAGATATGGGTCAAAGGAATAATAAAAAAAGAATTGTAATTACTACAAGGATATAATATAATGTCGAACACAAAAGAAATTATATACAACTAGAATAAACTTTATATATGAAAGTATTGTGATGAAAAATGGGGTTATGAAATTGAGGTTCTTTGCAATTGATGGCAAAGTGAGATATCTTTTAAAATGAAAATTGTAGTAATCATTGATTGTTGGATCATGGATGTTTATAATGAATGTGTATCGGTATATGTGATATCGCATTTTTATTAGATATCATGATGTGAATTGTTAGAATTAAGGGCTTGATGAATTAAATAATTATTATCATAATATATTTATTATATCACATGATATTTATATACTAATTATTTCCAGGGCCTGAAGGCACGAAGTAATAAAAAAAATATCAACAATAAATATATTTGTATTTACACCTAAAATCAAATTATAAAGATAGAGGAGATAAATGAATTTAAGCACCGATTGTAGTTGAGGCGAGCGGTGATTGTGATGGTGGACAGTAGTGGTGCTGGTGGGAGTCGGTGATGGGATGGTGGTGGTGAGGTAGTTGTGGGGTGATGGTCGTTGTAGAAGAGGTGGTGGTGGAGTGACAGTGGGGTTGGTGGTAGGATGGCGGCAGCAGTAATGATGGTAATGGTGAGGCGATAGGAATGGTAGTGATGGTGGTGGTGGTGGTGGTGGTTGTTGAAGCTAAGGTGGTGGTGGTGGTGGGGCGGTGGGGGTAGTTGTGGTGGTGGGGTGACGGTGGTGGGGTGGTGGGAGTGGTTGTGGACCAATTCCAAATACTATTTTTTTTTAAATATTTACGAACAGTTATAAATCCTAGAAGTATTTTTAAAAAGTTATCCCAAACACACCTTTATTTTTCATATTAAATTCGGAGTGTTAATATTAGCCATTGGATTAACTTTAAAATAAAATTTAAAGAGATCTCAACCGTGAAAAGCAAAAGTAATTTTGTCTATCTTTTAAAATTTGAATTGTATTGTATTTTATTATATAGATTTAATTGGTGGTTGATCTCTAGGGTAAAATGATAATAGAGCAAATAAGTAGGATTGAAAGAAGGGATACGAGTAAGAAGTGAGGATGCAAGTGTCACACACACATACATAGAGAAACATATATAACAAAATACATAATATTTAACGTGTCCTCCA